CCTGCTGCTTCTGGGCAGGCGATGCTTCCCCCCATCCCCGCCACCATGAGGGGACTGGGGAGAGCGGCGCAATGGGGGCTGCCCCCAAGGGCCGCCCCGTCCCCTCTGCAGGGCTGAACTGGGAATGGGGCTGCAACAGGGCCAGTCCCCCTGCCCCACCGGTCCCTGCAGCGCTGCTGGGGGTGTTTGCTGGGCGCTGTGGGGAGCTGGCCCCATGCGAGCCCCCCTGCGAAGCGCCCGGCTGCGCGGGCTGGGGGCCAGCGTGCCCTGCTCGCTCTCCCTGCCTCCTCCCGCAGACCATTCAGATCATGACCGGCTTCATGCACATCGGCTTTGGTGTCGTCCTCACCATGCTCACCAGCGTCTACACCTCTTTCTTCATCATCGGCGAGATACCCTTCCTGGGCGGCGTGTCTGTGCGTGGCGCGGGGCTGGCGGCGGGGGAAAGTGCTCCTCCCTACCCCAGGGCTCCCAGGGTCCCCCTGCCTGCTGGGACCAGTCCTGGGATGCTGGGGTGGGGGGGTGGCTCTAGTTCAGTGGCTCCGGACAGCAAATTGTAGCAAAATTTAAGGGTTAGTGGGACACAAAAGCATCCAGCCCTTCTGCCTGCAAGGGCAGGGGTGGGGAGGGCGGTTGCCGTCCCTCGGGAAGCTTGTGTGCGGCCGGTGGCTGCGTTGGCGGTGCCGCGCACAAGGGGATGCACGGCCCGCACGCCCGCAGCTGCGAGCGGTGCCCGACCGCCCGCCTCTCCCCTCGGCACAGTTCATCATCTCGGGCTGCCTGTCCATCGGAGCGGAGAAGAGCCCCACAGAGTGTGCGGTGAGTGACTCGCCGCCCGACGCAGCGCGCGGGCCCCGCGGCCGGGCCGGCCCGCATCCCCCCCTCCGGGCAAAGGGCTGCCCCGCCGGCGCCGCAATCCCTGCCCATCTTCCCTCTGCCACAGGTGAAGGGCAGCCAGACCATGAATGTCATCAGTGCCATCTTTGCACTCCTGGGCATCGTCGCCTTCATCATTGACCTGAACCTGAACGGCCTCTACCGCTCCAGCTTTGACTCGTACAACCACATCATCGTGGTAAGTACGCCCGGCTCTGCCACTTGGGACGAGCCAGAGGTGGAGTTGTGGGATGCTCGGCCCCAAAATGTCAGGGGAGGGGATCTGTACCAGCCTCCGGCCTGGCCTGGCAGTGCCACAGGCACTCGCGCCCTGGCTGGGAGCTGAAGGGGCTGAGCGTTTCCTCGCACGGGGTGCTGCTCACGGGCGCTTCCCCTGGCCCGGAGCTCGCAGGCAACGGGATCTCTATCGTGCTGCTCATCTTCACCGTCCTGGAGTTCTGCATCGCCGTCGCCACCGCCCACTTCTGGTGCCGGGCCACGCGCGTCCGTCCCAACGAGGTGGGCGCGGGCGGCGGGCGGGACGCCCCGGCGC